CGATGAAGTAGATATTCCCTCGAATGAGAAAGACTGTTCAGAAGTCATAACTATAACTACGGATCATGGAGTATCGCGTAATACAACGCCTGGAAATAATATGTCGCTATCGAAAAAACGCAAGCGGCATATTGCTATTGATGTAGAAACAGAAAGAGGTAACTACAAAGAATAGAATGATCAAATTATTTTATAAGTCCAAAAAATTACTAAATTTGTCATTAATATATATATATATTTTTTTTGTTTCTAGCGAAACTTCATGCTCTCTTGAATAGTAGTCACACAACTACACAGCCACCTACGGCTTTAAGCAAGCCTGCAGTATTATCTGGATCGAATACTTGGGAAATGAACGATGAATCACAATCTGAGGAATCGAGACGTTCAACACCGGTTCAACCACCTCCAGCGCATCAGCAAGCACGAACACCGAATATACCTTTCGACTTGAAGTACACAGTTCCTGGAAAACCAACTGTTATCCCTGGGACCTCCAGTACTTTGACACCTATTGATTTATCTGCTGGGTAAAAATTGTCAATCTTTTATGAATATACGTAACATTAATTTCACGTTTAATTATGTATTCTTATAATACGCAATTTTCAGGTATCAAAAACCGAGCACTGATAATAATAAAGATATCATGAACGAGGTTCAAGACTTTTCAATGCCAAATAAAAATAAACAAATTAGTAGTAATAAAGGAAAATTAGATAGTATGTTAGACAAATTAATGAAGAGAAAAAGTTGTGTACGTATTTATATTATCAGAAGTAGTTACCTTTCCCTACATATATTAATTTTAATGTATAATTAAAGATTAATGTAAATTAAAATATATATTCTTATTCTAATTAGCCAACGGATGAACCTGTTATTGGAAAGGAAAAAAAACGTAGAAAGCTTGACGAGATAGTGCTCGGATTAAGTGCAGCAAAAGAGCAACAAAGCACTCACTATCCTGAACATAGTAAAAAGAGTACAATTACGCCGAATGTAACGGTTACTCCAACGTCTGCGCCAATGGGTCTTCCGAATCCTCCAACAAGTACACAGAAACCATTTTCTATTACTGTTACATCTATTCCTTCTTCGCGGGCATCGAGCTCTACTTCTGGGTTACCTCCTCCATCATTACATTCGCACAAAGATAGCTTCTCCGCGTTGATTGCCCAAGCGGAGCAACAGAATCGCGAATTTAAAAAGCAACAACAACATCAACAACAGTCTCAGCAACAACAGCAACAGCAACAACAAAGTTTCAATTCAGCACATTCGGCATCTGCAAGCAGTCACAGAAAGAGTTACGAAGCAATGATCGCCGACATCAATAAAGTTGCCGAATATTCTTCTAAAATCGGATCCTATTCGCACGAGGCTAAAGTAAACAAATGGTTAGCTGAACAAACTGCAATGTCTGAACAGATGAGTGCGGAATATTTAAATGCGCCTAGACGACGACGACCACGTGTTGATCCATCCTTGTTGGATTGGAAAAAATTAACAGGCGAAGAAAATGTTGCTGTAATTAACAGATTAACAGGCAAAAAGGTTTGAAATTTGTTTATACTATTTTCTAACTTATTCTTATTCTTCAAAAGTGCTATTGTATAAAGAGGTGAACAAAATGTATTTGTGTAACTAAAGTATACTTTTCTTCGGCTTCATCATCAAATACAAAATATATAGATATCTTATATATTAACAACACATTCAATAGCTGAAGAAATACACGAGTAAAAACCTTTTAATTCGGTAATAACGAACACATTGACCGTTAATAAATTTTTAGAAAAATAGTTAAATATGCTCATCCCTAATTGTACGCAAACATACACTTTTTGCAGAACATATTTCTATTATATTTTAATATTTAATGAAGTATGCAACTACAACTCACATTGCAAACCTACATTTGTTTCAGGTTACCGGCAGTAAGGCTCCACAACTGAAACGGTTAGGTCAATGGTTAATTGAAAATCCAATGTTCGACGTAGATCCGAAGTGGGCTGAACTTGTAAAAGAACGTGGCAATCTTCCGCATGATTTGCAAAAGAGATTATCAGGGAACGATAGAAGTAACGTCAACAAGGGTAAGAGTCCAGGGAGACCTCCTATGATGCCGAGCCCTACTAGTCAACAATCTGCAAATCAAGCCAATTTGGCAGCTACGTCAATGGCTTCAGGCCTAAATTTCCCATCGTTGGGTAATTTGAACAATTCTCTTCTGTCTGGACTTTCTCTTGGTAATTTTGATCCGAAGAACAATCCTATGTTAATGCCGTTCGGTGGTTTACCAAATTTGGGTGCATTAAGTGGTTTGGGCAATCTTAGTAACCTAAGTAATATGAGTCTAACGAATTCTTTATTCGCCAATCTTGCTGGACTTGGTTTACCATCTTTAGCGGGTATGGAGGCTGCATTAGGTGCAACTACGACCAGCTCGGCTGAAACAAATCCGGTTGTTAGTTCTGTTAGCAGTAAAAACACGGGTTCGACAAGCATTAGCACCTCTGGTAAATCTCGCAGTAAAATGGAACCTCCTACAAGTAAATCATCGGTGCCTTCAACTTCATCAGCATCGTCCACAATACCAACAACGACGCCATTTCCCTTCTTCTTTCCAAATCCCAGTCTTTTATATACACCACTGGGTTTGGGTGGTCTGAATCCATTCTCGATGCAACCTGGCGGAGTATCATCGGCCTATGAAAGTCTTGCCCAATGTGGTCTTCTGAATCCACCGACTTCGAGTGCCTCGGCAGTGCGTAAACCTTCATCGTCTGGAAATAACTCGAGGCAACGAGATACAATCACGGACTCGACTAAACGAAAGGATAGTGAGAAGAAATCTAGATATACGATCGACCCCGGAATGACATTGCAACAGTATACGGATATGACGTTGCACAGCGATGATAGACGTAGAATAGAACACGAGAAAAGAGATACTGTGGAGCAAAATGATATAGCGGATCTTTCTGAAAGACGAATTGAAAGAAAGAACAAAGAGCAGGAGATGAAAGAAGCTCTGGAACATCTAAGTAGAACTAGCGCAGAACTTTTGACGAGAAATCTCGAAGATATTCAAAGATCGGGTGAAAAAAGAGGTCGTAGTATAGATTACAATCAGAGTCTCGAGCAGCAGACGCCGAGCATGCTTGAGGTGACTCTTGAACCTGTTAATAAAAAGTCACGAATCGAAATTGAAGTCAGTGCAAAACCTATGACAGTCACACCGGTAACAACTATAACACCTGCGGACGTATCAACAACTGAAATAGAACAAGCCATTCGATCGTCATCTGTAACAGTTAAACAGACTTCCGCAGAGGAAAATAATTCTTTTAATGAAGCATCTTCAAATGCTACTAAGAAAGATAGTAACGAAACAACTGCTACAGTATCAACAACTGTAGTAACAACCACAGCTACAACCACGCTTACACCTACCCCAACACGTACGTCTACACCTACACCGACTCGAACACCTACCCCTGCACATACGCCTACACCTACATCTACTCCAATATCTACTCCTACACCAACTCCTACCCCTACCCCTACATCTACAACGATACTAACTTCCACCACTACAACCCCAGTAACGACTGTTTCGGAAGATACAACTACATCACAACAAAGTACTGCTAACAGTAAGACGGACACAACAAAGCCTCCAGCAGAGGTGGAAGAAGACAACAAAGGCACTAAAGGGAAGAAGGCACGAAGTGGTAAACGATTAAGTGTGGAACCTCCCCCAGAACGGAAAAATCTTCGTTCCAGTGCTGGAAGACAAGCAAGAGCAGCAGCAGAACGACAAGCAAGAATGGAAGGAGAACAACAATCTGAACAACAGCAAGAGACTCATACAACGAGCGAGTGAAGTGAACGTTTTTAAGTGAGTTTTGAATAATACTGGTGATAATAATGATCAAATCTTCTGTTGTTGCGTCTATTTTTATTGCAATAATTCTGCAGTATTCGCACAACGATATTTCCAGAAAAAAAAAGTCGTCGATTGATAGACATTTAAAATGAATCACTCAATGCATCGACAATTCTTAGTTAAAATAAAGCACAAGTGCATTCAAAGAACTTGAAGGAAAGAAAAATGAAAAACATTTATTGAATTCGACTTCTCTTTCCATTTCAAGTGGAAGAAATGGGACAAATAAATAGAGCTCGTGTCAAGCACGTGCACATTACCATTACTGTCAGTGTGAATGTATAACATGAAGCTGTAAGTACGAAGGCTGGCAATAGTATTTTATCACTCGATATATTGTGTGGTAATTAACTTTTAATTATATAACATTACAATAACAAAATATAGTTTTGTTAAATTTATTATTCTTTATGATCTTTATTGGTTTTGACGAGGGACTGTTTTATATAACTGCTATCACACTATTGCGTAGTCGTGCAACAGTTCGCGGATCATTCAGGCATAAAAATAAGATATAACCATAATGTAGCAAAATAAATTTAGTAATAACTTAATAAAAAAAAAAACAGAAACAGTGTAAATATTATATACATTATGCCTAGAGACCTTAAGCGATCGTGTACTTGGAAAAATGTATATAACACAGTGTACTCTTAATTACATTAGGTGATACAATAAACAGCTTCTTTTGTTGTTTGCAAATGCCAACATTAGAATCTTTGTTTTGATAACTATGCGCACCTTTGTCAATGAACAGCCTTACAAGAAATAAGTTGTGAATTGTGTTAATAGAAACAGTGGAAAGTGTGCATGGAAGATATGGACAATGGAAAACCTTAAAGCATGGAAATTTTTTAATATACATTTTAGATTATTATTTTCAATTATTTTTGTCGTAAATTATTGATAAGAAATTTTAAATAAAAAAAAAAATGTTCATTTCTACTGTATACTTTTTCAAGTGATACGATGTTATATACCAATGTTAAGGCACTAAATGAAAATACGCTTATTTATAATTATACTTCGAAGAATATGACAGTACTATATTACAAAAAATTCAATATATTATCAGAATATGTACTTTAACTTTTACAAACATCGGTTTTGATAATTTAAGAAAATACATTGTAAAATATTTGTTTTTATATTTCAAAGGATTATTTATATGCAGCTGGCTGAGGTACAATACGTAAATAAGTTTTGCCAGAAGGTAGTGTTAAAGTTTTAATATTATCAAACAGCGTTTTTGCTTCTTCCTCTGTCACAGTAGGCTGAAGCATGACATCTTCTCCTTTCTGAAAATCATAATGCAAGAATTAAATATTTTATAAACATACAAGTAATAGTGAACTAATAGTTGAAACCATAAATACAAACCTTCCAGTCAACAGGAGTTGCTACTTTATATTTATCTGTCAGTCGAAGGGATTCAATCACACGTAAAATTTCACTGTCACAAAAAAATATGAAAAATATTTAACGATGGAAATAAAAATGAAAACATAGAAGAATAGAAGAAAAAAATTACTCAAAGTTTCTTCCAGTGGTTGCAGGGTACAAAATCGATAATCGCATTTTTTTGGCAGGATCAATAATAAATACTGCTCTAGCAGCCAAAGGTATACCATGATTATCAACTTCTGCAGGATCTAACATTCCCAATAATGTTGCGAGTTTTCGAGATTCATCCTGTATAATTGGATAAGGAAACTCCTTACAGTTTATTTCCCCGTAAGATTTTATGTCCTATAGAAAAAAATGCGATCAAGTTTTTCAAATTTTCATCAGTCTGTATTGTTTATTACTTTGAAAAGTCTCGAATAAATTTTTGTCTAATAATATATAGATATATAAATTTACCTCTATCCACTTATTATGTGAATCAACGGAATTACATGATAACGCGATAACTTTTACTCCCAATTTCTCAAATTCGGGCATCAATTTCGCTACTCGAGCCAATTCCGTTGTACACACCGGTGTAAAATCATTCGGATGAGAAAACAATATTCCCCATCTATAAAACGTATAAATTTATTTCGCAGAAATCGTTTTGCATAAATAATCAAAGTATTCAAGAATTAATTATTTGTAAAGCAATGACAAATATCGAAAAGAAAAAAGCAACGAAGTTATTTACATAGGAAAAATTGTTGCAGTATAAAATAATAATTTCAAAGAGCATGCTTAATATTATAGGTTATGATCAGTGAAAATAAATATCGCCTTACGAGTCACCTAGCCAATCGTGAAAATTAATTGTGCCAATTTGCGTCTCTGCTTCAAAATTTGGAAAAGATTCGCCTAACAGAACCATGTTACTATTTTAAATTTACTTCCACCGTTATTTGTTATTATAATTTGAATATTATAAAAATGACGACAGTACCGCTGTACGTCTACGAATGTTTGAACATTTGACTGTCACTGGTAAATACACAATTGTTGTCAAGACGATCCTTTTAACTTTTATTTATTTACATGGAATAAAAGTATAAACGATAGTAATTTTATACCTGATAAACTGCTTTAAATAAAAATATTCAAGGTGCGTTTACTTTGACATTCACTTTGTATGCGTGTGTGATATTTTATAATAATTTGTTTCTTAATTAATAGTTAGGAAAGTTTTTCATTAGTTCGTTTCAGTAAAATTTTAATAAAATTAGAATGGAATTTAGAAATTCCCGCCCATTCGATTGATACTTGAAGATTATTTCATACCGCTACCAACCAGAGATGGGCAAAACCTTAGGTTTCGAATAAATCTGAAGTCTAGGGTTTTGCCCATCAGTGCTACCAACTACAGTATAGATCGGTATTTTGGAACTAAGGGTGTCCCAAAAATGTTGGAAGTCGTTGAAAGGGGTGGTTCGGGAGGTGATTTGAAACAAGTTTTTTCTTAGCGAAAATGTTGTCCGACGCTTCGTTGAGGAGATATTAACGGAAAACACTGACCAATCAGAACGCGAGGCGACCGCGCTCTCCGACCAATCAGAGCGCGAGTATGCCGGTGGAGCGCTCGCGGTAACCTATGAGCGAAGCCGGCTAGCGCGTAGCTTACGCTCCACCTTGATACTCGCGCTCTGATTGGTCAGTGTTTTCCGTTAATATCTCCTCAACAAAACCTCCGATAACATTTTTGCTAAGGAAAAAGTTGTTTTAAATCACCTCCCGAACCACCTATTTCAAGGTGTTCAAACATTTTTGGGACACCTTGTGTACTAGTCAGAGATGGGCAAAACCCTAGGCTTCGAATAAATCTGAAGTTTGCCGATATGTTTGTCTCTTTTGCTTCTTTGGAAAATGTTCTAAAGAGAAAAGGAGACAGACATATCGGCAAACTTCAGACTTATTCGAAGCCTAGGGTTTTTTTGTCCATCACTGGTACTAGTTTCATATCCACCCAACTTCACACTAATTAACCTAACCTAACTTAGTTTCACATTTTCGAGTTCTAGCAAGTTTTAGTAATTTATACTCGCGTGTTCGAGTCAGTTTAAATTTCTGGACTGAGAGTTTCCAATATTTTGTACATTATCTACAAATGTTTTATTCCGGGTCCATAGCGTGGTCGTAAACAGTGATAAAATATACTCTATGCGTTACTATTCTCGAAGTATTTAATTTTTAAAATGTACAATAATGTTTTACGAAGTAGCATCGCTGTCGCAAACAAATTTTGTTCAAATGTGGTTGCTTATCCGGTACAATACAAATCGTTAAATTCAAAATTAAAAATCTCTCATCTAACGTATTATGTCAAACATTGTGTGGCGATAACACGTTGTTATTGCGATGAAAGACATCTTAGTAGATCTCACCAAACAACTTTAGAATATAATAAAAAATATGAAGAAAAACTTCAGGAACTACTTAAAGTACCATCGAATGAACACTTTTATAAAAAGTTTCTACTAGAATTAGAAGTTTTAAGACATGAAACCGGCAGAGTACCAGAAACCCTGAAGGCTAGGGACTGGCTAATGTTACTTGCGGCACCTAGTAGATCACAAAGAAGGTTGTATTTTTAATACATTTTTTACCAAAAGTTTTTCACAGTTAAAATTTTATTGCATCAAGTGTAACATTTGTCTTGTATTCTGAATATATAGGTCATATATTGAATATCTTTGGAAAATTGAAAAAAAAGAAGAAAATCGACAGGCAAAAAAGCTAAAGTTACAAGAAGAAATAGAACAAAAAACACTGACTAGTCCAGAAGAATCTGATCATATATTCTATGGACTTCAGAACAATTCAATGTTTATGCGTATATATGATACAACAATAGCACATCATTACAATCAAAAATTAATAACTGCTATGTTATTTGCACCAAAAATAGTATTCGATCTCGAGTACGAGAATATTATGTCAGCATATGAAACTCGAAATTGTGCAAAACAATTGAAACTTTCATTTGCAGCAAACAGAGTACACAATGATCCCTTTAATGTTTATTTTTGTAATGCTAATCCATCTGGTTTACTTATGCAATCAATTCACCAAGGAATACCTACTGTATATGATCCAGAGTTTCCATTAAATATCACTTCAAAATCCTATTTAGAATTATTTGATAAAAGTAAATTAGTATATCTAACTCCAAATAGTACACAAGTTTTGGACAAATTTGACCATGATATGATATACATAATAGGTGCATTCGTAGACAAGGTAAGATATATTTTGTTTTCTTCTTGTTCATTATGTAATTTACTAGTATTAAATCAGTTGATACTTGTTGCAAAATAATATTAAGTCCTTCATGCATCTAAATTTAAGACTTATGTACGATCCTATTTTATATGTATATTTATTGTCTTGTTTGGAGTTAACTAGTTAATTAAAAGGGCAATGGTTTATATTTGTAACAATTTAAATATTGGTTATTTTCACGATATATATGCATTATGTCATATTTAGTAATACATTTCTTTTTTCCAGATGAAACCTCAGCCAGTCTCATTTGCAAAAGCTAAAAAAGAAGGTATCAAAACGGTTAGACTTCCTTTAGCTGAATATTTACCATGGGGATCCGGATCTGCAAAGAATCTTCCCCTTAACCATGTTCTTAGTATCTTATTAGATTTGAAAGAAGATAATAATTGGGAAAGAGCTCTTAGACATATTCCTGCAAGGAAATTACAAAGTGCAAGAATAAAATCGTTAGAACAAAATATAGTAAAGAGAAATAAAATGATAGACTTATTGACGCATGGAAAATAACTGTTTTGTTAGTAATAAAATTTATAATTTTAAAGTTAAATAAATTGCTTAATACAAACTACCTCACTCAATTGTAAGTTTACTTCCTTGTTACTTGTCTTCCATGTTTCCTACTTCACGATATAATAATACCAATAGTTTTGGTGAAAAGAGCAATATTAATGTGCTTCATCCTAAATCTACTAGTTGGATTCATTAACAAGATCTAATATATTCTATCCTGTAGTTAATAATTGTTGCAAAATAATATTAAGATTAATAACATCAATAACATCTAAGGTAGAATCTGCTATCAACAGTTTCAAGATAAAACATAATATTACTTATTACATAAGTTTCTATTACTTTGCTAAATGTTATTAATAGATGCAAAGTATTACTATTAGTTAAAATTCGATTCTTCCCCCATTCATTATATTCTTTAATGTTCTGAGGTGTTCTAAATAAAAAAAATACAAGAAAATCGAATATAAAATTCTGAATGAATTTCGTATATAAGAAGCAAAATTTTATTTGAATAATAGATGATGAAAGAAAATATCGATTTACCATAACATTTATTTAATTGAATAGTTTTTTTTTACTCGTTCCAAGTGAAATATAATTTCATTTTCTTACTGGACAAATAACGAATTAAAAGTTTTTTATTTATTATTCATTATTCAAAATTTATATTTAGATAAGACTTTTGCCAATTTCTGGCCTTGAATTTTCGAGATGGATCGAAACTTGGAACACTAATTGTTAATTGTTTGTAATTGTTTGTATATTTATACGCATAATGGTATCGCCCGCAGGGATTATTGATTTTTAAACAGCCCGCATCGGAAGTTGAATTTACTAAATTTTAATTACATACTTTTATCTCCGATACGATGTCTATAGATTACAAAAATTATGATAGACAAATATACATTACGATTTTTTTTATTACGAAGAGTATTTTGACTTGTCGCGTGATATTAAGCTTTATTGGGTTTACAGTAACCAATCTCGTATACAATTATAACGATTGGCATGTAAATGTTGAGATATTAATTGGCACTCACTTTTTTGTTTCATTTCTTTCTCTCTGTGTTATTTATCGAGAAAAGCTCTTTGGTTTGATTTTATGCAAAACATAACCATTTTTAAGTTAGGACGAATTAAACGTGACAATTTCATAGTGCAAAATAACAATAATATACAAATGGTAGGATGTACCAAAAATTATAATCCAAAGAATATCATTTTCATTTGCTGTGCATATTTTACATATACGTACATTCTAGAATAGAATGGTATAGAAAATAAAGAGAGAAGAAATAGATGTTTTCGCACGATTGGTTATGAATGACTTTCAATTTTCAAGTGACTTTTCCATATATCTACATTGTACGTGTAAACAAATAACAAAAGTGACAGTGATTAACCTATATTGATTGATATTTTGAAATTACAACTTTCCGATTAATTGTGAATGACATGATATCTCATGACGAAACAAAGGTCGAAATAGTACCGATAAATGGAGGACGAATTGAAGGAAAAGAGGAAACTGTTATATTTATTGAACAGTTTGTAAAAGATGTATGCGACTTCAGTTCCCAGTATGGAAGTAATATCAGTATTTCTTATACTGCCTACAATATTGCTGGGAATCCCAGTAAATTTCCGGACTATGGAGATTTTCCACAAGCTTTTGTTATGGTAAGTTGTTATTTTCAACATATTACTGAGCCGTATAAATCGTATGGCAATTGTCATTAATATGAATATAAAAACGAAAATACTATAGCTTTGCATATGAATTGAAATAATTTATACTTTTTTGTATCATTAATACTGTACCAAAAATGTAATAATTAATTACAGTCAAGGACACTATTATAATATTATTAATACAATCTTATTGACCTATAGAAGTATATTTAAAAATAAAAGAGTACGCATGATTAATAGCAATAATATTGGTACTATAATCATAAATTAGCAATTCAAATATTCAAGTATAGAATAATTTATGAAATATAGTTTCGTTAAAAGAATTATAAATATTTGTAGAGAACATATGGACAATGGTGGAACAAAGCACCTTCAAGACTGATAGACTATATGCCACAAAATAATGAAGATGTTATAAGCCAGGATTATATAGGTGAAAAATGATACTGTTAATTTGTATGGTTTATATAGAATGAAAATAAATTAACAGATTTTGTATGTTATCAAGATTTAGAATATTATCAAGAAGTTTATCCAATTAGAGTATCAATATATGAAACTTATAATCCTGGAAGCGTAGTTGGTATTTGGGCACAAAATTCTGAGGGAAAATGGTTTCAATTATGGAGTGGATTTCCTCAGATTGTACCACATAAGCCAAGGATATTTTCACCACGTTTGCAGCTATGTAATTTTAAAACGAAAATGATAAGACTGGAATTTAATCATAACTTATTAGACTATTATACAGAGTTAGATGCTGTGTTGCTCATTGGAACATCTAAATTGATTGTGCCTAACAATAATTTACATAATCAAAATTTAAATGATCTTTCACAACAATTGGGCTACCTTGAACATAGTAGTGATGATATTTACAATCTAACACCGGATTATTTGAAGGCAAATCAGGACTTGATAATTCTTAAGAAGACACTTCCTAAGCACTGTAAAGTTTTTAAGAGGTATGCTATCATTAACTTTATATAAATTTCAGATACTGTTATAACAATAGTAACATATTTATAAATATTATAGCAAGATAATAGATGATATTTCCAAAGGCAAGTTAATATCTAAAATAGGTCAACACTATCAGTCAGTTCCTCCCATAGAAGAAGCATTTAATAGTTTACAACAATTTTTACAAGAAGACTTTCCAAAACTTATCAGGGATATTCATTATTCAACATCAAATGCATTAAGTGAAGCGAATAACTCTCCCGAGGATAGGACTTTAATATCTTCAACTGATTCTGAAAATCAACCATGTGGCAGTTTTTCTGCACTACCAGTAAAGTACCATATTTGTATTATATCACATTTGTTTAAATATTAATAATAGTATCTTACTCTCAATGTATTTTTACAGGATGAAACAGTGCTAAAAATTTTAAAATATTTAGATTTAAGATCGTTATGTAGTTTATGCACAGTAAACAGACATTTTAATAATATTGCAAGAGACGCTTTGTTGTATACAAGTCTTAATTTAAAACCTTATTGGTACTGTTTGGACACATCAGCATTAAATTGTTTAGCACCTAGGTGTCAATATTTACAACGATTAGATCTTTCATGGTGTGGAAATTATAATATGATTAAACATCAAGATTTTATATATTTTATTTGCACATCTGGATCTCTTTTGACACATTTAAGATTAAATTGTTGTCAGTTTGTTAATGATGTGATTATCCTTGAGATTTCAAAAGTTTGTAAGAAATTAAAAGGTAAGTGAAAATATCATTGTCACATGTCTTATAAAATCATATAAATTACTCATTCTAAATATGTTATCTAGAATTGTGTTTACGCAACTGTCTGGGAGTAACGAATGAAGGGTTTTCAAAACTTAAAAATTTGGAATTGCTAGAGCGCTTAGAACTTTACAGAACAAATATTGAAACTGCTACATTATGTTCTATATTAAAGACAAACCCTAAAATGCGGCATTTGAATTTAGCAGGAATGCATGATCGTTTAAATATAGACGAGGTAGCAATCAAATTAGGAAATTCTTGTCCATATTTAGAAAGTGTAGATTTTTGGAAAGCTCAAACATTAACTCCACATGGAGTTAGAGCCTTGTCACGTTGTACTAATCTTCGAGAAGTGGATTTTGGATGGTGGTACGTTGTCAATAAAAAGTAATTTTTATCGTTTACATAAGTAACATATATTAATTTGGTATGTTGTAATATAGTGGTGGACTGGGTGCTCCTGGCAATTCCTTAAGAGCATTACTATCTTCCTGTCGATACCTGGAGAAAGTATTTTTAGCAGCTCTTAGAGGGTTAACAGATTATGACTTGGAACCTCTTTTATATTGTCCACGATTGCAACAATTGGATTTAATGGGGGCTCGTTCTCTTACTCCTGCTATATATTACGGATGTCTATTATTTTGCCCAAAGTTAGAAATGATTGACCTTAGTTTCTGTGAAGGTATTAGTGATTTTATACAAGGGTGGCGTCAACAGTATCCGCATGTCTCTATTAAAAGAAGTTGTCAAGTAATCAGCTCTGATATGCTATGAGCATAATTTCAGAGTATTTATTACATTAAGTTCTATTATTATCGATGGCATTAACGTTTGAGTACCGATCAATTTCTGTAGTACTATCATTAAAATAGTTCTTGGCTATTACGATATTGTGAGACTGGAATGAAATTACATACAGTTACAGCAAGTCTTCAATTTACATAGCTAATTACTTTCGAAACTTTCCGCTCAAGTCGAATTATATAAATACAATTATTGGACTAAGATGACTAAAGAGAAGCGAACGAGTCAAGTGATTTTTTTAACTTTAATTAATTAAAGTTAAAGAATGCTTCTTTATCAAATATATATGAGAACATGAATACTGTGTATTTGCGAATCCGCGTAAATCAAGGGCTTGCTGTATGTGTAAAACATAGGTGATATAATGACATATATATTTGTACTCTTATTTTATTTAAAAAGGTAAATAATATATTTTTGAATTTGCAATTTGATAGTACTTGTATGTTACTTATGTAATAAATGTATTGTATAGTAGATTATAAGAAACTTTTTATACATGTAAATATATTTTCATTAAAAAAACATATTGAAATATACAGATTAAATTAATTGTACTTTATTAAATAGTAAAATAAACTATAGGACATTAGCAACATTTCATGCAGCATCAACATTTGGATCTTTCATCAAAGAATCGCAAAAGTGGTTTTAACACAGTAAATGATTTCTGTATTTGATAACGTTCCATCTTTGTGTAAAAGAGAATATATATACTAGAGACTATAGTAAATTTATGTTCAGAATATAAGTATCGAATAATCAGAAAGCAATTTTTTAATAACAAAATCAAACAGAAATTCAAAAAGATAAACGGAACAAAAGACGGTAAAAGAGATCTTGATCTGAATCGATAAAGAAGTTTACGCCAAAGTTCAGGTGGTAATCCACTGCGGTGTCGATAAGGAAGTTACCATTTACCAGGTATCGGTCACATACCTGGAATTAGTGGCTCCATCCTAGCGGCATGAATATGCACAATTTTACTACAAACTTCGTCATCTTGTCAGCGAGGGCGTCACTAATTGGTTCAAAATGAATTCAATCAGTGTATTACACAGGTAGATCCGAGTTTGAATTTAGTTATTTGTCATCGATAGAAATAATTTCTTTTAACATGTTTCCGTATCTTCAGGTAATACTTTTCTTACAAATGGAATTAGGAAACCGCCTGATGCGTTAACAAAAATATTCAATTAGTATTTTAAGGAATATCGAAAAAGAATTTTGTCGTTTCTTTCGTTCATATTCAGTTTTGTATTTACGAGAGGCTGCAGTTGTGCGGGAGGCATATCTACGTCGTTCTTCCGACGGGCGATGATCGCTGTGATAAGCAGTAAGTTAGGCCAATGAATAGGACCGTGTATGCACGGCGCTTGATTTCTTTTCCGTTTTTGCACGGACAGCATAATACTTCTGCGAAATCAGACAATCTGTGGCTGCGTTCGGAATTTCATGCGCAAAAAGATCGACTTCTTTTCAAAGTTTAGCACTGTTTAAGATGCGAGAGGGATATAATAGTCCACTATTCGTAAACGAATAAACGTAAACCGTGAATGACGGCTCTTTCGACCCGAGGATATAGAAATGTAACTTTATCGGCTTTCGATAACGACAACGCTAGAGATTCGAACTCTCTATCGCATACATTTTATTTCGTGTTTCGAAAATTGCTTCTAAATTATTTGTGCGTAACATTAATTTACATTAAAGTTAAATAATAAGCGAAGCTGCGGAATCGATGGACGTATCGAGAAGGCATCGTGCAATAGAAGGTCGATATAATGCAGCGTGAAAATAGAGGAGCAGTTGATTTTAAAAGTGGCGTAAGAAATTCTTAAAAAATCATTCTAAAAAAAAAAATATAGTGACAGTAAAAGAAGCAAATAGAAAGTTGAAGGTATTTTAGAAAAAAAAAAAAAAGAAAAAGAACCTGAAAAATAATCATATTTTTTTAGCTATTTGGTTGTACTAAAAGACGCAGTTATTATTTCTTTGCTCTCGCGAATTGTACGTGTGTAAATAACACATTGCTAGTTACATTACAAGCGACCAATTTCTTTTGTGCTATTATTTGTAAGTTCACATTAATTCTCCGAAAACTTTAACTTAATTTATACTAAAGCCTCGCTTACTATTTAGTTTTAGTACAAATTAATTTTACGAACAAATAATACAGAAGCAATTTCTGAAAGACGAAATAAAATGTACGCGATAGAGAGTTCGAATCTCTATCGTCGTCGTTGAAAGCGATAAAAGTTACATTTCTATATCCTCGGGTTGAAAGAGCCGTCATTCACGGTATTCATTTCACTCGAGCACATCATTATGCAGCTTCATGTTCCATTACCAGAAAATATTCAACCGGAATGATCGATCCGAATATCCTCTCGTAGCTTCGCGAATCTGCCGGTAATACCGAAGGTATACTTCCGGCATCGGCGTTGAGATAATAATCTACCCTCTGCGTCGGTGTTCTTCAACTTCGATTTCGTACAGAAAATATCGTGCATTCAAATGTTGTGGAATTTAAATTCCCATGTTGCGGGAGCTTGGTGAAACGTTATTTCGAATCGTCGACAGTGAATAGTTTACTTTATTTTGAATCCGATTCGAAATTATAGAAATTAAACGATTTATTTGTTGGAGGAAGTCTTTTCGAATTATATTTAGAAGTAGTATTTTATTTAACCTCTTCGGAGACGATTTTAATTTATGCTTTTTCTTATATCTCTTACTGTACATCGGAAATGACATTATCGGTGCAAATCATTGCAAATCAGTGCAAATTTGATCGAACCGTAACATTTTCAATCTTCTTGTCGAGAGATTTTCTGTGGCGAGTAAGTTATTCTCAAATGTTTGTTCTTTTTGTGATCGACATCGATTATAATTATAAAAACTAAACTTCCGCATATCTGGTGAAGGGTGCGAAGAGTTCAAAGGACATTGCGTGTAACGGGTTTCATTTACTTTCTATTACAACATTTAATTAAACACTCTGTTATTTACGATTTATTTGTGAAATAAATGTTAAATAGAAATATTTGTAGAAGTGAGAGATACTGCAAACGATATCGAAACAACGCGGAAGTCATGTAAGACGACGATGAGAAGAATGGAAATAAGCTAGTAATAAGAAATCAGTAGCGCAACAATTTCGTGTAATAAGTTACGCACTTTAAATAAATGAACGAACGAACGAACGAATGATTGCTTCGGATTATCAGAGTAAAAAATTTAAAATATCGCTTTGTTTTAAATATAGATATAACATCCGTTATCCGTGATACTATTCGAAATATTTTCAATGAATGAATTCAAATCCATCTCGCGCGAGATCGAACAATTATCATATCTCGTATTCGTTTAAACGTTCGTACACGATTCTTTGGAATATTTTTATTTAACATTGATTTCACAAATAAATTGAAAGTGATAGAGCGTTGAATGAAATTTTGTAACAGAAAAATGAACGAAACCCGCTGTATGCGATGCTCTTTAGCCTTCTTCACACTCTTACAATTCGATGGTTGTCGTGGATGTTTCTCGTTCGGAATAAAAATCGAAGGGCACTGGCGCGCCGCGTTCCTCGCAAACGTCTGTATATCGAGTATCTTTCGTCGCCGATATCGTTAGACTTTGCAAATGATGTTTAGCCCCGTTCGAAATCCTTGAATTTCTTTCTTCCGCGGTATCGGCGTGACGAGATCGTTTTCAACGGGAGACGAAGTCTCGAGAGATGAAAGCCTCGACGCGCATCTAATCGGCTTCATTATGAGCGCAGCGAAGAGTTGCGTGTTAACGCTGATTAATTACTCGTTGGCAGCTCGTTTAAACGAGCACAACGCGCTGGTTTTTCGTTCTCCGTCGATTTCTCTCCTTCCATTTCTACCTCTCACGGTCCCCTTTGCCCCGTCACCGGCCCTCGTTTCACGGTTTTTCTTCGCGTTTCGCCCATTTTTCTTCGTCGTTCTCCGCGATAAACTCCGCTCTTGCGCTCGTGTAACACATTATATATACGCTGCGAGCGAATATGAAATCGCAATGGAAGAATTTCATTCGGGAATATCCTTCGGTGGTGCTTAGCCGTGAATGTATTTCTCCGCGATCAGGGCTCAAAAATGAAGCGTCGATGGAAGAATTCGACACGAAAGATGGGAACGGTTTCGTTCGAGTAAAGATCGATTCGGACTACGCGCACCGGCACGTACCGGCAACGACACGTACCGGCGCCGACACGACGAAACATTAAAGCACGCGTTTCAATGGAACTATTCAAATTGAATCTACACTGTCAAATTTTCTTCTTCGAACGTCCCTTTGTATGTGAAAAGCAAAAAGTTTCGGTAACAAAAATTAGTTATATCTAGAAATTATAGGGTGTCCCAAAAGTAGCTGAGACGATTCCGAGCAACAATTTTCTTTGCAAAAATGTCGGATGGGGCTTCGTTAAGGAGATATTAAGCGAAAATTTCGACCAATCAGAGCGCGCGTAGACCGTTCGAGCGGCCGCGGTAGCGAAGGTTACGCGCTGGCGGCCGCGTGAATGTCCTTCGATGCACGTCGTGTCACTTGTTAGCAGCCAATCATTGAACTACAGGGTATCCCAAAAATGTTGTAACACCTTGAAAGGGGTGGTTCGGGAGGTGATTTGAAACAACTTTTTCCTTAGAGAAAATGTTGTCCGAGGCTTCGTTAAGTAGATATTAACAAAAAACCCCGACCAATCAGAGCGCGCGTAGACCGTTTGAGCGGCCGCAGTAGCGTATGAGCGCGACCGCCTATCGCGCATCCTACGCTCAACCGGCATACTCGCGCTCTGATTGGTCGGGGTTTTCGCTTAATATCTCCTTAACGAAGCCCCATCCGACATTTTTGCAAAGGAAATTGTTGTTCGGAATCGTCTCAGCTACCCCCCGTTTCCGGCTCCTCCCCGACTTTTGGGACACCCTGTATGCGTTAGAAAAATACATTAGCTTTTGAAAATTTCTGCTAGGATTAAATATTATTCAGACTATTGGAGACTACGTAATCGTAAACATCCGACGTGGTATTTATTATTGTAACTTCATCGGAATACACGAATTCCATTTAAATTCATTTCCTGTGAAGCTTAATTTTCAGAATTAATTTTTTTAAGTTCTTCAGTGATAAAGCACTGTCACCCCCACATACGGGTGACGTGGCGATCAACGTGTTAAACGGCGTGAAAATGTCTGAATTTTTCAACAATGAAAGAGGGAGGAGCAGAATGACAGAGGAGGGGGCGTGGGTGATTTTCGCGGGGGTTTAAACACTCGGCGATTTTAATTAATGTCGCCAAGCTCGTCGACGATCCACTTTACAGCGGCACCCCTGTATCGTAACGCAAGGATCTTTCGATCGCGCGGAAACTTTCCACGTTAATTATTTCACCGTCGAAGCTCCGCCAAGGGTGGACCGTCGCGACTGGAGGGGACTGTAGGGGGCGGGAAAGACTTTCGAGTTTTCCGCGTTCGCAGCGAGCGCAGGAAAATTAGAAACCGAACGCGGGAGAAGAGATTCGCGCGAAGCAGAAAAGTTTTCGGCCGGGTTCGCGGCGCCGGTTTCGCGGTTCGAATTTTCGGAGAAGTTTTCGGGAACGAT